TCCTGCCCTAGAGTGTCTTGGCACCCGTTCTGTGTGGACCGTCTTGCAGCATCCTGGTTTACCATCTTGCAGCATCCTGGTTTACCATCTTGCAGCATCCTGGTGGACCGTCTTGCAGAATCCTGGTTTACCATCTTGCAGCATCCTGGTGGACCGTCTTGCAGCATCCTGGTGGACCGTCTTGCAGTATCCTGGTGGACCGTCTTGCAGAATCCTGGTTTACCATCTTGCAGCATCCTGGTGGACCGTCTTGCAGCATCCTGGTGGACCGTCTTGCAGTATCCTGGTGGACCGTCTTGCAGCATCCTGGTTTACCATCTTGCAGCAACCTGGTGGACCGTCTTGCAGCATCCTGGTGGACCGTCTTGCAGTATCCTGATGGACCGTCTTGCAGCATCCTGGTGGACCATCTTGCAGCATCCTGGTGGACCGTCTTGCAGCATCCTGGTGGACCACTCTGCAATGCTGACGAAGACGTGATGCAAACTGAAGGGAAGGAAGAGAGATGCTTGGTTAACGAGGGTTTGAAACCTATCTGCTACACTAGGGTCATTAAGGCTTCACATAGAAAGTTTATTTAGATACAGGTGTACATAACCACAATTACACAGAGTTAGGTGATTACAATTAGCATACTTAGTAACAAATGTGTAAATAAGCTAGGATAACCCCAAAAAAGTCAGACGAAGTGAATTGTTTCCATTGGGGTTACTGTAATTTCTTATTATTTGAAGCTTGGTTATAAGATGCAGTAAAAATTAGTCATGGTTATAATATTAAAAATTAAAGAACCATTCCATCAGCAGACAAGAATACTTTAGTCTATAAAACAGAGATTAAAGTAAGCTCTCAACATATATATCTACGGGATATACGTATATAGCAGGTTATAATCATGGCCATAATTTTTAGGAGGGTGGAGGGGTAAGCCAGCGGAAGGCCTCGGTCAGATGACCAAAAGCTCCAGGTGCAGATCATCATATGACTAAGACCTGCATCAAGAAACACTTGTCCTGTTTCCTGACAAACATTATACCTACTGTTAAAAATTGTATTAAATACCGACAAGTTGAAGATTGAGACACATGTACAGTAGCTGGGTATCTTTCATTATGAAACGTTGCACCTACACAGTAGGCTTCTTCAGTCAAATACAGAAGGAACAGTAGTAATGAAATAAAGATGATGTAATCAGTCCATCAACCTTGGGGAAAATGTATTTGAGGTGGTCAGTCCCTCAGCCTGGAGAAGAGTTCAGCGTCATGGTCTGGAAAAAATATTGTTCCAGACTGAAGAAGCCTACTGTGTGGGCGAAACGTGGAGGGAGAGAGGACTAAGTAAGTTTATTCAGGTATACACAAATACAGTTACATAGATTATCATACATAGCAGCATATGTGTAGAGAACCAAAGATAACCCAAAAAAGTCAGAGTGACTTATTTCTATTGGGTTCCTTTTAATACCTTATTATTATACTATAAAGGATATAATAAACCATACCCCGGCCGGAATTGAACCCGCGGTCAGAGAGTCTCAAAACTCCAGGATATATACTAATCTACTGGGAATAAGGTAAAAAGAGTTATTTACATTTACATGTGTGTTAGCTAAAAAAAAAAATAAAAAATCATTCTCCTCACTTTCTGTCGCTACATTCATTAGGCACGTTTTGGTTTTCTTCTTGAACTGGTTCATGCTATGACTGGCTTTGACATGTGCAGGCAATCTGTTCCATTTCTTTATTGCTATACAATAAAAGGTGTTTGAAGCCTGGCCACTGATTATGGGTACTACAAAGTTGTGCTCTCTCCCTCTAGTACTAAGACTGCTTCGGTTCCCAGCTTTGACAAAATTAGCAGCAAGATATTCTGGACACTGTGAGCAATTTTATAAACTTGATTTAACTTCAGTTGTTTTACTCTGTCTTCAATATTCAGCATGTTCAATTGTAATTCATCCTGGTCTACATGTTCTCTTGGACCCAGGCCCAGGATGAATCTTACTATTTTGTTCTGGGTGATTTGCAGTTTATCTTTCAGTTTTTTTGTCAATGCAGAGTACCATGAAGAGCAAGCGTAGTCCATATGGCATTGTATAAGGGATAGACATAGGGTCCTGCGAGCCTCAGTAGGTAGACATTGTGCTTGTCTGTAGAGGAACTTCAGTCTGGCATTCGCTTTCTTTACTATACTGCTCCCGATCAGTTCTCCTGACATGCATGGGTCAAAGGGGATTCCCAGATATTTTACTGAGGAAACTGAAGTGATGGGCTCCCCATTACACAGGACATTAAAATTATTTACCCTTCTCAGTTTTTGTTTCGTGCCAAAGAGTAAGTCTTCAGTTTTCCCGAGGTGCAATGATAGTTTGTTGTCTACTAACTATTTGCTGCAGGAATCCAGTTTCAGTGTTATTACATTAGCTATATCTTGTGGGTCTTTACCTGGCACTAACAGAACACTGTCACCCACATACAGTAGGAGTTTGCATTTGACACTGATGGGCATGTCATTTACATAACATAAGAATAATAAAGGACCGAGAATACTACCTTGGGGAACTCCACATGCTATCGGCAGGGGTTCTGATTCTGTTTTGTTGATTTTGACAATTTGTTTCTTATTGCTAAGATAGGACTTAAACCAGTCTATGGAACCTATGCCGATAGCTTGAAGTTTCTTACATATTATTATTATTATAATAAAAAAGAAGCGCTAAGCCACAAGGACTATACAGAGTTTCTTACATAGTATATTGTGGTTGACAGTATCGAAGACCTTTTGTAAGTCTAAGGTTACCATGCCTGTGAGGTTCCTTATCGACATTTAAGTTTTCATGTAATCCATCATATTAATTAGGGAGGTGTCCGTTGAGTAAGAGCTCTTAAAGCCTGATTGATAGCTATGGAGAATGTTGTTGTCATTAAGATACTTAACTACTTGAGAGTACACCGCCCTCTCTAGAATTTTGGATATTATACTGAGTATACTAAGAGGCCTATAGTTGCTAACATCAGACCTACTATTTTTCTTGAAGATAGGAGTAACTCTGGCCTCCTTGAACCCCTCTGGTACAGTATTAGTGGTGATGGACAAATTTATTATGTGAGCAATGGGGATTGGCAATTCAGAGGCACCATCTTTTTGGAACATAGACGGGATGTTATCTGGGCTGGTGCTCTTAGTTGGGTTTAACCTGCTTAGTTCTTTGTGCACGAAATCATGAGATACGCTTACTAGTTGACAACTGTTTGGGGTTACCACTTTATTGGTATAGTATGTTTTAAACTTATCAAGAGTCTGTGTTAAAGGTATTTGATGCAGCTGGTAGTTTACTTACGAGTGTTGATGCGACAGTTGTGTAGTAGGAATTCAAACAATTTGCCACTTTAGTCGTTTCGTGGCATACCTCGTTATCGATATTTGGTACTATATTAGATTTATCTACGGGTTTATGGCTATACCCCAATTGTTTTAGTTGTTGTCAGAGCTTTCTAGGGTTATTCTTGTACTCTTCGATTTTTGAGCAATAGTGCCTTGTCTCTGCACCTTTTATAAGCCTCTGCACTCTGTTCCTCACCCTTTGGAATTCATTTAGTGCTGCAATATCCTGTTTGTTTGCCTTACATCTTTTTAACACCTGGTCTCTGAATTTCATATTATCTAATATCTCGAGTCAGTGAACCAGTAATATTATAAATATTTTTTTTTTATTCGCCGGTATTCTCCCGGCCCGGGCCTTATTACCAGGTCTTATTACCGGGTCTTATTACCGGGTCTTATTACCAGGTCTTATTACCGGGTCTTATTACCGGGTCTTATTACCGGGTCTTATTACCGGGTCTTATTACCGGGTCTTATTACCGGGTCTTATTACCGGGTCTTATTACCGGGTCTTATTACCGGGTCTTATTACCGGGCCTTATTACCAGGTCTTATTACCGAGCCTTATTACCGGGTCTTATTACCGGGCCTTATTACCAGGTCTTATTACCGGGTCTTATTACCGGGTCTTATTACCAGGTCTTATTACCGGGTCTTATTACCGGGTCTTATTACCGGGTCTTATTACCGGGTCTTATTACCGGGTCTTATTACCGGGCCTTATTACCAGGTCTTATTACCGAGCCTTATTACCGGGTCTTATTACCGGGTCTTATTACCGGGCCTTATTACCGGGTCTTATTACCGGGTCTTATTACCGGGTCTTATTACCGGGTCTTATTACCGGGTCTTATTACCGGGCCTTATTACCGGGTCTTATTACCGGGTCTTATTACCGGGCCTTATTACCGGGTCTTATTACCGGGTCTTATTACCGGGTCTTATTACCGGGTCTTATTACCGGGTCTTATTACCGGGTCTTATTACCGGGTCTTATTACCGGGCCTTATTACCGGGTCTTATTACCGGGTCTTATTACCGGGTCTTATTACCGGGTCTTATTACCGAGTCTTATTACCAGTTCATGTCTTCTTGCTCTCCCTATTACTGCTTATTTTGTGTAGCTAGCAACTCTATATAATCTAAACCTACATCTATAATCTTTTTTCTTGCAGCCGCTCCTTCCCTCTAGGGTTTTTACGTCGATGCTGGTAGAGAGAGAGGGCTCTTGATCCGAGGAATTGAACTTGTTCTCCATTTCCTTGCGTCAATCCGAATCCCATACCCCAGGCACTGTATGATCCATTACGAGTTTAACGCTCCCCAGTTATGATGATAAAAACATTAATAACGATTATGAATTATAGTAATTTAACAATAAATTAATAATAATAATAGTAACAATAATAAAATTAATAATAATAATAATAATAATAATAATAAAATAATAAAATAATAATAATAATAATAATAATAATAATAATAATAATAATAATAATAATAATAATAATAATAATAATAATAATAATAATAATAATAATAATAATAATAATAATAATAATAATAATAATAATAAACATTTAAAGTCGGCGGGTGGGCGCATGCGCAGTGTGGAGGCCTCCCTGGAGGCGCCGCTCCTGACATGGCGAGATCTTCTCTATCTCAAAGTGTTCTCCTTTGATTAATTTCACTTTGGGAGGCTTGGGCGTGGAGTGGTGGCGGCGAGAGGCGGGAAGAAGACACTAGGGACACGTATCTTCACTCCGGAGATGCCGTGGAGCAGCGGGAAGCTGTGAGTACCCGATAAATAATGTTTATATATGGCCATTGTGTTGGTCTTCCTGAACGATGATTGAGCCATAAGACTCACGCGGGATTTGGTGTGATATTTAGCATTAATGGCGTGTTTGTAGGCTCGGGAGGGGTTGTTTGCGGCATGGGAGGTAGGGGAGGTTTGTGGGTTGGGGGAGGAGTGGTTTAAATGAGTGGAGGTGGAGGGGAAAGGTGGAAAAATGGAGGTTGTGTGAGTGTGTTATTGTGTTAGAGAAGTTCGTAACTTCGTTCAGGTAGTCAGTGATGATGTGATCTTCAGGAGGTGAGGATGTTGCTGCTGCTGGCCACCGTCTGGGCTAGTTTACTCCACCCTGGCCATAGTCTGCTCCACTCTGGCTATTGCATGGCCCACCCTGGCTGCTGCATGACCCACCATGCCACTGAATGGCCCGCCCTGGCCATTGAATGGCCCACCCTGGCTACTGCATGGCCCACCCTGGCTACTGCATCGTCCACCCTGGCTGCTGCATGACCTTCCATGGCCACTGAATGGCCCGCCCTGGACATTGAATGGCCCACCCTGGCTACTGCATGGCCCACCCTGGCTACTGCATCGTCCACCCTGGCTACTGCATCGTCCACCCTGGCTACTACATGGCCTACCCTGGCCACTGTGGCCCACCCTGGCTACTGCATGGACCACCCTGGCTACTGCATGGCCTACCCTGGCCACTGTGTGGCCCACCCTGGCTACTGCATGGCCCACCCTGGCTACTGCATGGCCCACCCTGCCTACTGCATGGCCCAAACTGGCCACTGTCTGGCCCACCCTGGCTACTGCATGGCCCACCCTGGCTACTGCATGGCCCACCCTGGCTACTGCATGGCCCACCCTGGCTACTGCATGGCCCACCCTGGCTACTGCATGGCCCACCCTGGCTACTGCATGGTTCACCCTGGCCACTGTGTGGTCCACCCTGGCCACTGTGGTCCACCCTGGCCACTGTGTGGTCCACCCTGGCCACTGTGTGGTCCACCCTGGCCACTGTGTGGTCCACCCTGGCCACTGTGTGGTCCACCCTGGCCACTGTGTGGTCCACCCTGGCCACTGTGTGGTCCACCCTGGCCACTGTGTGGTCCACCCTGGCCACTGTGTGGTCCACCCTGGCTACTGTGTGGTCCACCCTGGCCACTGTGTGGTCCACCCTGGCCACTGTGTGGTCCACCCTGGCCACTGTGGTCCACCCTAGCCACTGTGGTCAACCATGGCAACTTCTTTGCCCACCCAGGCCACTGTGTGGTCTACCCTGGCTACTGCATGGCCCATCCTGGCCACTGTGTAGCCCACCCTGGCTAATATATGGTTCACCCTGACTACTGCATGGAGCACCCTGGCCACTAGGTGGTCCACCCTGGGCACTGTGTGGTCCACCCTGGGCACTGTGTGATCCACTCTGGCTAGTTCTTGGCCCACCCTGGCCACTGTGTGGTCCACCCTGGCTACTGCATGGCCCACCCTGGCAACTGTGTGGTCCACCGTGGCTAATGCATGGGTCATGCTAGCTACTGCATGACCCACTTTAACTACAGGATGGCCCACTGTGTGGCTCAACATGGTCACTGACACCTTGCTCACTAAATGGGCTACCCTGGCCATTGCATACTCCACAATGGCCACTACATGTCCTACCCTGGCCACTGCCTGGCCAGGGTATCCACTGCTTGGCCCATTGTGATCACTGATTGGCTCATGGCCACTACCTGGCCACTGCCTCAGGCTATGGTGGCCACCTAGGTTATTTTAGTCCACCATGGTCACTATCTGGTCATAGTGATTGTTTCATGGTCCATCATTTCAGCTATATGGCTCACCTTGGCAGCTGCATGGTTCACCATGGTAATTACATGGAACACTTTGGTATCTACATGGCTCACCTTGGCAGCTACAGGGCTCGCCTTGGTAGCTACAGGGCTCACCTTGGCAACTACATGGCCTGCCATGGCAATTACATGGCCTGCCATGGCAATTACATTGTCCACCATGGCTACTACATTGCCCACCATGGCTACTACATGGCTTGCCATGGCTACTGCACGGCCCGCCGTGGCTACTGCACGGCCCGCCGTGGCTACTGCACGGCCCGCCGTGGCTACTGCACGGCCCGCCGTGGCTACTGCACGGCCCGCCGTGGCTACTGCACGGCCCGCCGTGGCTACTGCACGGCCCGCCGTGGCTACTGCACGGCCTGCCGTGGCTACTGCACGGCCCGCCGTGGCTACTGCACGGCCCGCCGTGGCTACTGCACGGCCCGCCGTGGCAACTGGCAAGGCCCGCCGTGGCAACTGGCAAGGCCCGCCGTGGCTACTGGCATGGCCCGCCGTGGCAACTGGCAAGGCCCGCCGTGGCAACTGGCAAGGCCCGCCGTGGCTACTGAATGGCTTACTGTGGCTACGACATGACCTGCCATGGAAACTGCATGGTATCATGTCAGTTACACTGGCAACCATATGGGTCACCATGGCTGCTGCATGGTTCACCATGGCCACTACAGGGCTCACCATAAAGCATACCACAGGCAGGTTTATGGTGAGCCCTGTAGTGGTCATAAAACTCCAGACTGATGCATTAGCCAGTGGGCCAGCTGGCTACAATAAGATTTATCCAGCTAGGTATATTTATGCACCATTTCGTGAGTTGGGGCTCACCATGGCCACTAAAGAGCTCACCATGGCCAATACAGGGCTCATCATGGCCAATACAGGGCTCATCATGGCCAATACAGGGCTCATCATGGCCACTACATGGCCAATCATGTCCAATTTGACCTTCCATTGCTAATATATGGCTCATCTTTGGCCTGTGTATGGTCCACTGTTATCTTGTGTATCAAAGACATTGTGGTCAAATGGGGTAAAAAAAAAATGTATAAGCTGAATTTATTTTTCTTACAAATAATTTACTGAGGATTGTTGGTATGCTGTTGAAATGACTTCTAATGACTTGTATTACTTCTTATGACCCATATTATTGCAATTCCTGGATGAGAGCTACATTTTTTTTTCACGGTGCCCCGTGGCCTGGTAGCAAAAGCTCTTGCTTCATGCGATGAGGGTCCAGGTTCAGTTCCCAGCGAAAGGGTGGAAACAATGGATATGTTTCTTTACACCGGTTGTCTCTGTTCACCAATCAGTAAAATGAGTACTTGGTTGTTAGTCGACTGGTGTGGATCGCATCCCGAGACAAAACTGACCTAATTTGCCTGAAATGCTCTGCATAACAAATTGCTTTCTGTATAGTAGTATGTCATTGATGTCAGCTATGCCTGTATACATTGTACAGTGGTCCCTCATTTTTCGTAATTAATCCGTTCCTGGAGCCGTTACTATAAACGAAATTTACGATTTACGAATCAATTTTCCCCATAAGAAATAACGTAAATACAATTAATCCGTTCCTGACACCCAGAAGTATTAAAACAAAAAAAATTTTTACTCCAGGTAAACATGTAGTACATAAACAATACAATGGGAAATGATGAATGAAACATTAACAGCATAACACTTACCTTTATTGGAGATTCTTCTTAGTGTATGGGAGACTGGAGGAGGAGAGAGAGTGGATTGTTTATAGTTTGGAAGGGGAATCCCCTTCCATCAACACCTCAGGTACCATTTGCTTTTCTGGGGTTCCCCTCAAGGAAGGTTCCTTGATGCTGGTGAGGGGCTCTTGATCTAGGGAACTGGATCTGTGCTCCAGTTCCCTGAGTTAAACCTGAATACCTTCCATCCCTCCCCCCAAGCACTGTATAATCCTATGGGTTTAGTGCTTCCCCCTTGATTATAATAATAATAATTTTCTGGGGTTGCTTGTCTTCTCTGTTTCTTAATGCCACTAGAACCACCTTGAGAGTCACTGGAGTTCTGTCTCGCAAAATAACTGTGGAGAGAGCTCTGTTCCTGGCGTCTCTTTAACACTTCCCTAAAATGGCCCAAGACTTTGTCACTGTACATGTTGCCAACCTGGCTTGCAACAACCTTGTTAGGGTGATGTTTCACCATAAAGCTTTCCATCTTACCCCACATAGTAAAAATCTCTTTAATTTCTGAAGAAGGCACCTTCTTCCATCTCTCTTCCTCCTCCTCTGCAGCAAGATTCTGAGCTGCGATGTGTTGCTCTTCCTGCTGAAGCTCTTGCAGCTCCTCAGTGGTGAGCTCTTCATTGTGGTCTTCCACCAATTCTTCCACATCCTCCAAACTCACATCCAACCCCATGGAACTCCCCAGTACCACAATTGATTTTACAACAGACATAGGCTCATTAGGGTCAGTCCCAGATCCTTCAAAATCCCTCTTGTCGACACAATCTGGCCACAATTTTCTCCAGGCAGAGTTCAAATTCCTGGTAGTCACTCCCTCCCAAGCCATACCTATAAGGGTTATGCAATGGAGGATGCTGAAGTGTTCTCTCCAAAATTCCCTTAGGGTCAAGTAAGTGTCTGTGGTCACAGTCAAGCACCTGTGAAACATTGCTTTTGTGTAGAGTTTTTTAAAGTTTGCAATAACCTGCTGGTCCATGGGTTGGAGGAGAGGAGTGGTATTCGGGGGCAAGAACTTTACTGTGATGAACCCAAACTCCTCGAAAATTAGGTCATCCAAGTTTGGAGGATGAGCAGGTGCATTGTCCATTACTAGCAGGCACTTGAGATCCAATTTCTTTTCCAGGAGATACTCCTTCACACTAGGGCCAAACACTTCATTGAACCACTCGACGAAAATTTCCCTCGTGACCCATGCCTTACTATTAGATTTCCAAAACACACACAATTTACTCTTCATAACATTGTTTTTCCTGAACACTCTGGGATTTTCAGAATGGTACACTAGTAATGGCTTCACTTTGAAATCCCCACTAGCATTAGCACAGAACATTAGCGTCAGCCTGTCTTTCATAGGCTTGTGTCCTGGCATTGCCTTTTCCTCTTGTGTAATGAAGGTCCTCTTTGGCATTTTCTTCCAAAA